CGCCTCTTCTTACGGTAGCGTTGAATATTTACGGCCTCAACTATGACGTCACTCCCCACTAACCCCCTGTGGTGATTGTGCATCTCCTGTACGTAGCGCACTTACTCTAAAATCTTTTTTCCCCAACTTTAGCAAGTATCCTATCTGCACACCTCCCTTCTTTACCAAAAGTATGTAGTTTTTCTCCCTGGTGTCGTATACCTATCATCGACGAAGACGTCACGGGTAAGACGACACCTGGGTAAACATTGGCAGCATTTAAACTTCTTCTAACCGACGCTCCACAGTGTACCCGAGGAAGGCCTATTAAGAAGGCCGAAAACGTTTGTACTCCAGTTAATAAGGCTAGAAATTAGTGAGGAAGGTTTTGTGCTGTTAGTCTTAGAAATTTCGGAAATTCTACAGAAACCAAAATCCACTGTGGGTGATGTAATTGTGAAGTGAAAACGTCAAGGCAGTGAAAGTGGAGAAAAATGATGTGGCAGGCCAAACAAAATCAGTGAATGCAGCCGTAGAACTCTGAAAAGGGTAGTGAAACAAAATCACACCCTCGTTGGTTGAAATCACTCAGGAGTTCCAAAGATCATCAGGCATTAGTGTTAGCACGAGGACTGTTCATCAAGAGTTAAAAAACCTGGGATTCCATGGTTGTGCAGCCGCTCACAAACCGAACATCACTCTTCAGAATGTGAAGCATTGATTGCAATGGTGCAAAGCTCAACGTCATTGGACTGTGGACATGTGGAAAAGTGTTCTTTGGAGTGATGAATCTCGCTTTACAATCTGGCAGTCCAATGGAGGCATCTGGGTTTGGTGGATTCCCAGCGAGCGCTTCTTATATGACTGCATTGTATCAACTGTAAAGTTTGGTGGTGGCAGCATCATGTTTTGGGGGTATTTTTCATGGTTTGGCCTGGGTCCCTTAGTTCCCGTGGTTGGAAACATGAACTCTAAGATGTATGTGGATATTCTGGACAATGCTGCTCTCCCAACTCTATGGCAATATTTTGGGGACGGCCCATTTCTCTTCCAGCAGGATAACTCCTCCATTCACACATCAAGACTTGCGCAGGCATTGATGAAATGGGTGTTCAAAAACTGGACCGGCCTTCTCAGATCCCCGATCTAAATCCCATAGAACACCTTTGGAACAAATTAAAATGAAGATTACATAGCCAGCCACATTGACCATCCTCACTGCCAGCACTCACTTCAGCTGTGATGGACGCCTGAAAGTCAATTCCGATGGCCACCTATCAAAAACTAGTGGAAAGTCTCCCCAGACGTGTGCAGGCTTCATCGATGCGAAAGGAGGACCAACATCATATTAATATATGCCTCAGGACTCTCCGAGTCCATACCACTGGGTGTCCGGATACTTTTGGCCAGATAGTGTATTCAATGATGAATGGGTGAAACTGCATCTAACTAGACTGCAGAAAGCAGCTAATTTGCGGGTCATATCATGTGTGATTTCCAATGTATGTACAATGGTATAAATGTAGGTTTTTGACAAACTGTAGTTCCATAAGTATTATCTAATTTGAAAATAGTAATAAAATAATTTAGAACTAATATTATAAAGAGGTAATGTTTGTAAGTTTGTATGTAGGGGTAATCTCCGAAACTACTCATCCGATTTCAAAAATTCTTTCGCCAATATTTAGAATGGAACTTCAGGGAGGACATAGGCTGTATATTATTCCGTTAAACATTCATATAAATTAAAAGATATAATCTAGGATTAAGGCTTTTATGTCCAACAGATGGCACTACGAGTACGACGATCTAAGTTTGCTTTTCTGTGAGGATAAACTAAAGCAGATCATCTTCTATCTATGTATATAAATAAAAATGTAATGTTCGTTTGTTCCTACCGA